GGAAGGCCCTCCCTGTTTCGTCTCCGCCCGCCCTCATGGGGCAGGTCCCCCCTCGCCTGTCCTGGGAAGGATGTGCGTGGTGCACTGGGAAGGTGGGAAGGGCAGTGACTCCTCTGAGCAATGAGAACGGACATTTTCCCATGGGTGATCAGAAAGGAAGCACGCCCGTAATGTCAGCAAACCCTTTAGAGTTCCTGGGATAAAAGCCATTACATAAGCCTGGTCACTACTGTGGCTGGAAGGAGGGGCCGGCGCAGGGAGGGTTCTGGGGGCTGAGCGGGGACTCCAGGGTCTCTGCCCCCTTCCAGTCCCGGCAGGTGACCCCTTGGCACGAGTATCCATCGGCTTGTGGGGCACTGTCAGGTGGATGAGCAGACCGAGGACGTAGCGTTTCCCCTGCGGGCGTGTTCTTAAACTGCATCACATGCATCTGAGGTGGGACAGAGCATATGGAAGCACCCCGAGGCTCGGGAGGGAAGGGCTCCCCCTCTCCCATCCTGCCTTTCTGCACAGGACGCATCACGGAATCGGCAGGAACCTCAGTGACCTGAATCATGTTGCTGATTCTGGCATGATTTTGCTGGGCTGTTTATAATCTTTCTTACCAGTTTGTATGAATACAATACCTGGATTTGGAAAAAGTATTTGTGTTGACAGTATGTATTCCTCCCATCCAGGAATGTAGTGTAGTTGCACCTTTACTATAGCTAAACATTTATTAAAGCTCGCTGGGGGTCTTGGATAAGTCACCCAACCTCTCTGAGCCTCAGTTTCCTCATGTGCTGAACAAGAGACTGCAGAAGATGAGAGGCCCTTTCTAGCTCTAACACTTAAGGGGTCTGTATTCAAAACATTATCTTGAAAAAACAAGTGCTTTTCTTAGTGTTGACGAAGTTTCTGCCTCTGAACCCTTGAAGTCATCGTTAAATTACTGGTTTTGGAAAAGAGGCAGTTATTGAAAAAGATGAGGAGCTGGCATCTCCTGGTCTCGCCCTGCTCCTTCCAGGGGGATCTTACTCAGCCACGGGAATTACTATCAGTCCTCCCAAAGTGCCATGACTATTGTTGCTTCCGCCTTTGCACGATCTCCTAACAGCACAGGACGCTCTCCATGGCCCCATTTACCAGGCTCGCCAATCCACCCTGCAGACACCAGCTTAGATGGCACCTCTCTGGGGAAGCCTTCTCCAACCTTCCCATCTGGTGCAGTCCTATTTTACCACTTCCCCAACTTTTATGTGCTCATTTGTTAATTTTTTAGAAAGAAACTTTCTCTAGATTGTAAGATACCCGGAGGTACAAATTTTATGCTAGTCCCCCTTACATTCCATTTCTAACAAAGTACCTGGCCCATTCTAGATGCCAAATAAATACTTGTTGCTGTGTAGAATTTTAGGCTCTGAACAGTTCTTGAGCATCAGCAGTTCAGTTCCTCTGCAGACACCTTCACGGCTCTGATTGCCCGTCGGCCCTTCTGAGAGCCGCTGCCCCAAGGGCTGCTCTGTGAGTCCCTGGGGCTCCCCTGTAACCCAACAGGTGTTTGGGTACTTACCATATAACTGGCTGAGAAACATGCGATTGTCACTTCCCTGGGACGGAGAGGCGAGTAGGGTATGCAGGGCCCTGGAACCATGGGCGGCTCCTCTGCCTCCTTCGTGGAGATGATTCAGATCAGAGGCAGCGGCCTCACAAGGGCTCTGCTCCAAGAAGACCTCGTGAGAGAGGAAAAGCCTCATTCACCTCCTTCTGTGTAAGTTCAAGACCGAGCTCCCCAAACCCCTCAAAGGGTAGGACTCCTTAAATCCAAACCCTGAGGAAGGAGACCCATCTATAAATTTGGACATCGAGTTCTTAAAAGAAGAGCCCAGAGAAGGCCAGGGATAAACATCTGCGCACAAAGTGTCTTTCATGTTCAGAGTCCCTACAAACACCAGCCCACGAGGAACCCCTCCCTGCTGCCTCTTAGCTGCTAGCTGATTTTGACCGGGCTTTTCGCTCTCCAAGTATAAGCAGTTTCATTTGTGGATTGGGGAAAGGCATACTCATTTGGGGTGTTTTGCTGAGAACGAACCCACTCCCTTTTCTTTCTCATGGCCAGGTTATCATGGAAGGGGTCTGGGAGTCTTTTTAAACTTGCCGCTGGTCCTGGGTTGGACAACGGCAGGAGGTGAAGGTATAGTTCTGGTTAAAAGCCGAAGTCTTTGATGAGGTTTGAGAAGCCTCTTCTCGTGGGTTGGAGGGGTTGGAGAGGACTCCATGGGGCTTTAGATCAAAGTCGCTGCTCTCAACATACTTTGATGTCTCAAGGAAGAAAACTTAACTCTCTGAGTCTCCTCAGTTGTAAAAATTGGAAAACAATATACAGTTCTCAAGATCCTCAAGCTAGCACAAACGCTAACTGTGAGGGGCCTGGCTGAGTCACTGCTCGGGAGCTGAGAACCAGACCTATGCTGTTTTCTAGGCTGCCGAGTCCTGCCCTCTGAGGCTCCACCCCCACTGCTCGCCCAGTAAATGTAGAGGTGCAGCTGGAATGCTCCCCATCTTCTGCTGGTCAGAGAACCTGCTCACATAAGCAGGTGTGCCGTGCAGTGAGGGGACAGGGGGTCTGGGTCAGCAAGGGCTGCCTTGGGCCCTGGGAGTTATTTGAACTGTCAGCCTGTGTGTGCCCAGCTGTGGAGTTGGGGTGAAACAATGTCTGCCTCACTGGATGCTGGCGTGAGATGAGGGAACGCACAGCGCCTGCTAGCCCTCACTCCGTAAAGGTTGCCTGTTCATCTTGTAGGTGATGAGCTCAGCTTCTCCTCTCTGAAACTTGATCGCATTGCCTGCACGCTTTCTCAGCATGAGATGGTCACACTGCCATGTGTTAAAATTAGTAGCTGACATGAGACTCCCGGACAAAATCGTGTGCCCCTCAAGGACAGAGACTGCTTGTTTCAGCCACGAGTTCCTGACAGCCAGTGGGTACACAGGAGAGGCCCCACAGCCCCTGCTGAATCACACTGGAATGATGAAAGAAAACAGAAAACTCCTGCCAAACAGGACCAGGTCGAGAGGAGCTCTGTCCCCCAGACAACAGCAAAAACAGTGAGAAGCACATCAAATTTAACTGTCCTCCTGTTAGGTAGAAAGATAGACACCAGCCGCAGGCAAAGGGAAGATAAGGTTCAAAGAGAAAGCCCCCCAAACTCTGCCCAGGGAGGGGGCCCCCTGTGGAGACAGCAAAGGCTTTGCAGGGACGTGACGTCCTCCTGAACCAGATCCCAATGGGTGGAACTACGAACGGCCCCCCTCACACCTGAGCGTGGGGAGAGGACATGCACACCGAGCGGGATCGCCAGGAGCGCCTGTAAACCCAGTAACCCCACCTGTCAAAGAGGCGCCTCCTAGCCAGAATGCAGCATGTAAGCCCCCCACCTAACAGAGGGAGGCCTGTGTCCCCTCCACTCTGGCGCTCTCCTCCCCGGAAGTGCATTCAAATTAAACTTTCCCTCTGTTTGACTCTTGTGTCTCTGCCTTCCTGTTCTTTGTTGCGGCGACAAGAATCGAGGAGAAACACCCGCCCTGTAGCAACCCCGACAGTGGGTACTTAGGTAACCGGTGGAGAGTGGAAGTGATGGAATCATGCAAGTAAAAATTCTGTTCAACAGGAAAAATCATTTAGAAAAATATTGATGCGTTGGAACGGAAGGACTTAGGTCCTAGAGCTGAGGATCTGAACCGAGTGTTCGCACAGCACAGGGTGGATGGACGGGGCGATTTCCCAGGTTCACCAGGAAAGGGACTCAGCGTCGCTCAGCTGCTGACAGAGAGTTTAACCTTCCCGATCCAACTTTATTTACTCTCCCCCAGCTAAAGACCAGGCAGTTTACACATTGTGTGTGTAGAATAAATATTAATTGGTGGGTCACTCGCAGCTAATATTTATGCACCCCCTTTGTTTGTTTATAGGACATGTGCAGACAGGCAGCCCAAGGACGATTCCGGGATGGGTGAGACCAGGTGAGGGGAGAAGAGAATGGAAATTAAACCTCTGCAGGTTTCCACTGAGACCGCTTCTTCCTTATCTATGAAACTTTATCTCCATTATTGCCCAAGAGGCTATTGTGCAAATGTCTCACACCTGAAAGACCAGTTGGATGGAAACTGGTATGAGGTCGCAGGTATGCGGGCAGATATGGGAGTACTTTTTCATGAAACAAAAGCAGACTGCACCTCCCCAACCGTAGGGCTGCCTTAGAGGAGACCAGACACCTGCCTTAGCTCTTGGCATGAGCAGGTGCAGGTGTGGTGTGGGAGACAGGGAGGTGGCCCCTCTCCTAAGTGAGAGCCTGCTTGGGGGGCCGGCAGACCTAAGCGATACAGCGTGTCCTGGTACAACCCCAGCTCCTTGCCAACAGTGACGGGCCATGTACAAGTTTTGGTGAAAATGATATGCTTGAAATTAACGTTAGTGTCTATTATTTGCCAGAAGGCCAGGGTGTTAGCAGGGACGATTCTAAGCCATATGCTCCTGACAGTCCACAGACGTGTCCATGCCTGCGTTCTGCTTTGCATTCATGGAGATCAGGCAAGATGCTTAACCTTTCAAATTTGGGAGGAGGCAGGTGGTTTCCCAGCTGGTAAAATGAAGAGATTGGTGTACCTTATCCTTGAGGCAGTGATCCTTAACATTCAGGAGATCACAGACAACTTTGAGAATCTGATGAAAATGGGTGACTTTACCTCCAGAAGAACATGCATACCTTAGACTTGTAGCAGACATTTTCAGGGAGCTTATGGGTCTTTTGAAACCCATAGGCCATGGGGCCCTCCTCTAAGGGTTCCTTCTTAATTCTTTGGGCCTTTGAATTCATGCCCAAAGGAGGTGAACTCCAGGGCACTGTTTCTGCCCTCACACACATTAATTTTTAAGTTCAATATTCCAGAGTATTAACTAAAAAATGTTTTTAAAAAATCTGTTATTCCCCGACTTTTAACCCATACAGAATTATAAGATTCTAATCAACAACTTAAATTACGTAAGCCTTAGTTTCCTTGCTATATGTTTGTAAATAGAATTAGATTTTCATAATGAATCAAACTTTCTCCTTGCATTATGACTTCAGAGGTATTTCCCCAGGAGGAAAAAAAAGTCTTAACCTCAGATCGTGGATAGTCATCACAGTTTGATAAGAAGTAATACTGTTATTAGTTCTTTGGCCTGATCTGGGTTGAGGAACCATCCTGATGGGACCAGCGCTTTAGAGAATGTGAGGAAAGGAAATGCAGGTTGGCCTACTTTGCAGAAGCCCCGTGTTGACACGATCACAGATTCCCCTTGAAAACTCTGCTTCGTGAACTGGAGCACTTGGAGGATTGGTCCGGCAGGTCGGAAAGGAGACAAGCAGGTGGAGGTGAGATGTGACAACAGTAGGAGGTTCCGACAGACGGGGAAAATGTAAAGAAAATATCCCATCATAGCATGACTACAATCTCCATTTGGAGGAAGTATTAGGTATCTTAGCAGCTTCCAGATCACATCCTGTTTTCTTGTTAAACGTTTGTTCAAGTCGGAAAGGAGACAAGCAGGTGGAGGTGAGATGTGACAACAGTAGGAGGTTCCGACAGACGGGGAAAATGTAAAGAAAATATCCCATCATAGCATGACTACAATCTCCATTTGGAGGAAGTATTAGGTATCTTAGCAGCTTCCAGATCACATCCTGTTTTCTTGTTAAACGTTTGTTCAGACTGTCTTACTCCTTCATGACTTTGCAAACCCAGGTCCACGTCGGGCCCCATTGCTCTTCCTGCAGATGCTTCTTTCCACCGTCTCTTGGCAAAAGTGTCAGAGGCAGGAGCAAAAATATCTACACGTACCTCCTCCTCCCATGGCAGCATCTGAAATCCCATTAGATTCAGTTCCTTGGGCCCAAGTGCTCAGTGCCCACCGGCTCCCACTTCATACTGTCAATATTTCTGGGCTGGTTAAGGCTGTAATGGGATTATAATCATGAATGCCATGGGAATAGGGTCTGAGTCCCATTTCTCAGAGCTTGCTGAGGCTGGGGCATCCAGGGAACTGGAGACAGGCTGGGCTGGGACAGGTAGGTCTGATTTATATCAGGGAGGGTGGGGGCCGCAAGACGCAAGCGAGAACGCTGCTGCTGAGACGGGGTGTGCGGGGCAGGGGGGCCTCTGCAGCAGAGACGGTGTTCAAAGAGCCAGCGGAAGATGGACAGGGCACAAGCCTCCTTCTTCCCCACTTCGCCCCATGTAATTCCAGTCGGTTACCAAGAAATGACACAGACCACTACGGTCTCAGTATGGCGGTTGTTTTACTTGGAAAACTTTGCACATGGTAGGCAGGAAAAATATTTGTGGAAAGAATGAAATTATCACCAACACCCCTGAGCCATATGACAAGTTAAAATTCCTCTCATTAAAATGCAGTTCCCAAGCCGAGGCCCGGAGAGCGGCCTTTCACGGCTAACAGTGTGGCTGTCTGTCTGGAGAAAGCACTGGGAAGGCCATTCTCCGTAATTCTGCATCCCACGTTTCTTCCTAGTCGTGGAACCTGCGTGTATCATTCTGTTTCTGCTGCTTTTCGTTGGGACCGTGTTGATAGCAGATCTTCCCAATGACTCATCCTGTCACTGGCGTTTGTGGAACATTAGGCAAGTGCCGGGCATGGGGGAAAGGGGCCGGCGGTGCCTTGTCTGCATCAGAA